ACGTAATAGAATTTATAATAGATTTTTTTATTTTAACTAATTGAATTAATTAATATTACGTAAGTTTATCAATTTCTATTCAATTTATTAAAGTTTAAGTACGAAAAACTAAAATAAAATTTGTGGGTTAGTTCAATTTAAATCTAAGAGATGGCGCAAGTGTGATGAATAAAATAAAATTATGGAAAATTAAGTGTTTTATGGAGAATTATTACGAATAAGCTTTTTTATGGCAATATTACGTAAGTTTATCAATTTCTATTGATTTTAATAAAGTTTAGGTAAGAAAAACTAAAAATAAAATGTGTAGGTTAGTTCAATTTAAATCCAAGAGATGGCGCTGTACTACCGTTCTGTGTCAGAAAGGATCGTGTATCGAATTGGACTTATTCTAATCTTTACTAAATCATTAAATGACGATCGATTTCATCTTAGATTTTTTGGCGACTTTAACTTCATTATTACATCGTTTTTATTGACTAAGCTCTCATCTTTTACATCTGGATAATAAAAATAGGTATCAAACTTGTCGGATTTCGCGTGAATAGATGGCGCTACTTAGTAACTGTCAACGACAAAAGCTAAAAAGTTGAGAAAAGTTAAGAAGTGGCGTTTTAAAGTTTCGAATACATTTTCGCCCATTAAAACTAGTTAATTAATTAAGTTAAAATGAACAAAATCCCCAGAAAGTTGTAATAATGAAGTGCTTAAATAAGATCAGTGAATGGCAACATCTAATAATGAATTGAATCTCAAAGAAAGTTTTGTATTTTATGGAGCATTATTATAAATAATCTCTTTTATGGTAATATTACGTAAGTTTATCAATTTCTATTCAATTTATTAAAGTTTAGGTAAGAAAAACTAAAAATAAAATGTGTAGGCTATTTCAATTTAAATCCAAGAGATGGCGCTATACTACTGTTCTGTGTCAGAAAGGTTCGTGTATCGAATTGGACTTATTCTAATCTTTACTAAATCATTAAATGACGATCGATTTCATCTTACAATTAAATTTTTTGGCGACTTTATCTTCATTATTACACCGTTTCTATTGACTAAACTCTTATCTTTTACATCTGAATAATAAAAATAGGTATCAAACTTGTCGGATTTCGCGTTAATAGATGGCGTCACTTAGTAACTGTCAACGACAAAAGCTAAAAAGTTGAGAAAAGTTAAGAAGTGGTGTTTTAAAGTTTCGGGTACATTTTCGTCCATTAAAACTAGTTAATTAATTAAGTTAAAATGAACAAAATCTCCAGAAAGTTGTAATAATGAAGTGGTTAAATAAGATCGGTGATTGGTAACATCTAGTAATGAATTAAATCTCAAGGAGAATTAAGCGTTTTATGGAGCATTATTTCGAATAATCTTTTTTATGGTAATATCACGTAAGTTTATCAATTTTTATTGAATTTATTAAAGTTTAGGTAAGAAAAACTAAAAATAAAATGTGTAAGTTAGTTCAATTCAAATCTAAGAGATGGCGCAAGTGCGATAGAATTAAAATAAAATTATTTTAATTATTTAACGTAATAGCATTTATATTAAATTTTTTTAAATTTTAACTAATTGAATTAATTGAATAACGTTCTTAACCAAAATCTTTCTTAATTTTTAATTCTTTTAATTAAAAAAAAGATTTAATTTAAAATTCATAGATGTCGTTAAAACACAAACGTCAACGTCAATTATTTTAGTGAATATGAATCTTACAAATTTTCGATGCTTCCAGATAAATTCGTGTATCGAACCCCTTTAGTGCCATAATTTCCGCTATCTCCATCTAAAGCTTGAACCCAAGCGACGGTTGTTCCAATTTCGCAGTTTTCCTGGACAGAAACTTCGTAAGAACTTTTTACGAATTCGGGGTAATTATCGTTGCGGTCCAAAATCGTCACTTTAACGGGAACCTCGGAATATTTGGGTTTGTATTTAACGATTTCCTTTGCGATTATTGTAAAATTGATTTCTTTAATTTGTTCGTAGTCTAAAATGGTTGGATCTTTGATTCGGATCATAAACGTTGCTTCGTTGGTTACTTTATTTGGAGTTATTTCGAAAATTGTTTCGGCCCCTTTTAGAAATAAATTAAAGGTTCCGTTATTACCCTAAAAGAAAAAACGATTATCCTTAAATCGTTTTAGTTTTTGGATTCAAATTTACCTGGTCGTAATCGTAAACTTCAGGGATTCCTTTTTCTAAGAAAGTTACTGGAGTGTTTGTTGGCGAATTTTCGGGAATTTCGCAATTATATTTTTTGCTTCTAAACGTTGGGGTTTCATCGTTTAAATCAGAGATTATTATGGTAACTTCTGTTTGAGTTGACGGCGCTGGTTTTAATTTGCTCCCAATTTCTGTTGCCTAAAAAATATTAATGAGATTTGAATTATAAGGCGAAAAACTTACAGTTATCTGTAAAATATGAGCTGCTGATGTTGAATGATACGCTTCCCTGTCTAAAATTTTATTCGTAAAAATGATTCCAGTCATTTTTTCAATTTCGAATAATTGAAATTTAGTTTCTGTTAATTTTCCGATGCTATAACCGATTGAATTGTTGATTCCTCGATCCCCATCGATTGCTTTCACTTGCATAACCGCGGTTCCAATCGGAACCCCCTCGGAAATTCTCGCCACCGGAAGTACCCTAACGAATTCGGGTGGGCGATCATCAACATCTTCAACTTTAATAACAACAGCCGCCGTTCCGGTATTAATTCGACCTTGTTTCGCTCGATCAATCGCTAAAACTTTAACTTGATGCAAAGTTTGNGATTCAAATTTACCTGGTCGTAATCGTAAACTTCAGGGATTCCTTTTTCTAAGAAAGTTACTGGAGTGTTTGTTGGCGAATTTTCGGGAATTTCGCAATTATATTTTTTGCTTCTAAACGTTGGGGTTTCATCGTTTAAATCGGAGATTATTATGGTAACTTCTGTTTGAGTTGAAGGCGCTGGTTTTAATTTGCTCCCAATTTCTGTTGCCTAAAAAATATTAATGAGATTTGAATTATAAGGCGAAAAACTTACAGTTATCTGTAAAATATGAGCTGCTGATGTTGAATGATACGCTTCCCTGTCTAAAATTTTATTCGTAAAAATGATTCCAGTCATTTTCTCAATTTCGAATAATTGAAATTTAGTTTCTGTTAATTTTCCGATGCTATAACCGATTGAATTGTTGATTCCTCGATCCCCATCGATTGCTTTCACTTGCATAACCGCGGTTCCAATCGGAACCCCCTCGGAAATTCTCGCCACCGGAAGTACCCTAACGAATTCGGGTGGGCGATCATCAACATCTTCAACTTTAATAACAACAGCCGCCGTTCCGGTATTAATTCGACCTTGTTTCGCTCGATCAATCGCTAAAACTTTAACTTGATGCAAAGTTTGTCGTTCGTAATCCAAAGAGCCGATTAATTTGATGATTCCTTTCCCCATACTGGTTGTGATTGAAAATAAATTTTCGTCTGATTGTTGTAAATAATAAACGACTTGACCGTAAGCTCCTTCATCCGCATCGGTTGCTTCTAAAGTTGTTACCATACCCGGTTTTGAATCTTCACGAAGTGTTATTGAGGGTTGATACGGTTTGAAAATTGGAACGTTGTCGTTAACATCTTCAACGAGGATCAATAGACTTTGAGTGATGAAGTTATTCGAGCCAAGCTTTCCATCCGTTAAAGTTAAAACTAAAGCGTATTCATCGCGTGTCTAAAAATTAATTTATAAAAACTTTTTTTCGAAGCGATTTTAAATATAATTACTTCTCTATCTAATTCTTGATCTAAAATAATGTTAGCTTCGTTATCTGAAATATTTTCGATTCGGATGACTTCACTTCCGGATTGAAATCGAATTCCAAATTTTAAACGATCGTTATCGGGATCTTCTCCTTGTAATTTATGGATTATTGTTCCTTGAAAAAAAAATTATAACCAAATTTAAATTTTTACGTCAAATTTTATACTTAAATGTCAAATTTAGTTTTTTAATTATTTCGCTGTTACCCAACCTGGTTGTCATGGAGATTTCTTTAATTTCAACTTGACGTTTATGAAAATATAACCTCAAATTTGAATTTTAACGTCAATTTTATATTTGAATGTCAAACTCCAAAACCTCACCGGAAGAAGATATAATAGAATATATTTGAATGTCAAATTTAGTTTTTTTAATTATTTCGTTGTTACCTAACCTGATTATCATAGAGATTTCTTTAATTTCAACTTGACGTTTATGAAAATATAACCTCAAATTTAAATTTTGACGTCAAATTTTATATGTGAATGTCAAATTTAGCTTTTTTTAATAATTTCATTGTTACCTAACCTGGTTGTCATGGAGATTTCTTTAATTTCAACTTGACGTTTATGAAAATATAACCTCAAATTTAAATTTTAACGGCAAATTTTATACTTAAATATCAAATTTAGTTTTTTTTAATTATTTCGTTGTTACCCAACCTGGTTGTTGTGGAGATTTCTTTAATTTCAAATTGACGTTTATGAAAATATAACCTAAAATTTAAATTTTAAAGTCAAATTTTATACTTAAATGTCAAATTTAGTTTTTTTTTAATTATTTCGTTGTTACGTAACCTGGTTGTCATGGAGATTTCTTTAATTTCAACTTGACGTTTATGAAAATATAACCTCAAATTTAAATTTTAACGTCAAATTTTATACTTGAATGTCAAATTTAGTTTTTTTAATTATTTCGCTGTTACCCAACCTAGTTGTCATAGAGATTTCTTTAATTTCAACTTGACGTTTATGTAAATATAACCTCAAATTTAAATTTTAACGTCAAATTTTATACTTGAATGTCAAATTTAGTTTTTTTAATTATTTCGTTGTTACATAACCTGGTTGTCATGGAGATTTCTTTAATTTCAACTTGACGTTTATGAAAATATAATCTCAAATTTAAATTTTAACGTCAAATTTCATACTTGATTGTCAAATTTAGTTTTTTTAATTGTTTCGTTGTTACCTAACCTGGTTGTCATGGAGATTTCTTTAATTTCAACTTGACGTTTATGAAAATATAACCTCAAATTTAAATTTTAACCTCAAATTTCATACTTGAATGTCAAATTTAGTTTTTTTTTAATTATTTCGTTGTTACCTAACCTGGTTGTCATGGAGATTTCTTTAATTTCAACTTGACGTTTATGAAAATATAACCTCAAATTTAAA